GACGGCGCGGTCGAGGGCATCGCTCGACCGCGATGGAGGACCCGAGCGCGGGCGACGGACGACGACGCGCGCGGGGGCGATGTGGGATGGTTCAGGGCGACCCGGGGGGGTGGGGGGGGGTCGATATCGCGCGCGGCGACGATCGCGCGCGCGGGTCCGCGCGCGCGCGATGGAGGACGACGGGGGCTGAGAGGCGATTGGACGACGCGGCGCGCGGAGACGGACGCGGCGTCCGCGTCCGAGACGACGCTGAACCCGATGAGAGAGATGAAACTGCTCGGTATGTTTTGCGCGCCGTTGTTGGCGTCGAATTTGATATCGCCGCTGCTGACGATGACGGATACGGCGTTCGTGGGGCGGTGCGCGGGGGAGGCGAGCGCGGTTTCGCTCGCGGCGCTCGGAGTGTCGACGCCCCTGACGGATTACACGGTGTCGCTCTTCGCGTTCATCACCGCAGGGCTGACGTCTATCGTGAGTCGAGGCGTGGCGAGTGGAGAGAACGAGGACGAGCTGAACGGTAAGGTGTATGGAGCGCTCTTCATCGCCTTTGTGAGCTCAATCGCCGTGGGGGCCTTGCTCGTCACTCGGGCAGAGTCGTTATTAGATTTATTAAGCGTCACGGGAGAGGTGAAGCCAATCGCGGCGCAGTACACTCGAATTCGAGGATTGGCGATGCCCGCCGCGTTCATGACGGCGTCCCTCTACGCCACTCTGGTGGCGAGGAAGGATACCATCGGGCCGCTGATGTGCGTCGCGCTCGCGGCGGTTGTGAACTTTGTGGGTGATTATTTCATGGTGGCCGTGTTTAATACCGGTGCTGCGGGCGCGGCGTGGGCGACAACGGCGTCGTTGTACACTGGACTCATCGCGATCACGGTCATTCTCCGGCGACGCGGGTTGTCAAACTTTCCGCCAAAGCAAAATTTCGGAGACGGTTCGGTTCCATTTTTTCGCGCGATGATTCCGACGAAGGCGCAGGTGGCGCCCGTGATGGCGTTCTTCGGCCCCATCACATTCTTGGTGGCGGCTCTACTGGCGATTTACACCTCGCAGATTCTCCAGGCGAATTCGCTCGGAGTAACGGTGTCCGCCGCGCACAGAATCGCTGCGACGCTCTTCTCGCTGACCGTTCTGTGCGGTGATCCCTTGGTGCAAGCCGGCCAGGCGTTCATGCCAGAGCACTTCATCAAGCCGTCCAGGGCGGACGCTCGGAAGATGGCGATGATACTATTCCAGTTCGGTCTCTTTACGGCGGCTGTCTGCTCGTCTTGTTTTGCCGCCTTTTGCTATCTCGGCGCTGGCGTCTTCACCACAGACGCCACCGTCATCGCCTCCCTTCACAGGGTCGTGCTTCCGATGTCTAGCGCCGTCGTGGCTAATATCCTGTCCAAGTCGCTCTACGGCGTCATGGTCGCCGCGCGCGCGCTCAATTTCCTCGCCGGTCTCACCGGTCTCGGACTCCTCGGTTTCGGTTTCGCCATGCGTTACCTCAACTCGCACGTCTTCGGGCACGCCAAGTATTCGTACATCTGGTGGATCACCGCCGCGTACTACGGCCTCGCCGTGCTCGTGATATTCGCCAGGATCAACGGGATCGGGTTCAAGAGCATCCTGCGAGACGATGCCCCCCTTCGCTGAGTATTCATCGTGTACACTCGTTTGTAAAATGCGGTCGCGCGCTCCAAAGCAGGCACCCATCACCCGTCGCGTCACACGTCGCGTCGCGATCGAGGGTTGACAAAGTGACGACGCGCCCAACCGTCCGCGTTCGCCGTCGCGCCGTCACCGCGCGTCGATCCCGCGATGGTGGCCTCGACGACGTCCTATCGCTGCCTCGCGTGCGCGTGCGACGTCCCGTCGGCTGAGCGATCGATGCACGAGCGAGGGAGAGAACACGCGAATAATTCAATCCGACGTGGGAACTCGCACGATTGGTGCGACGTGTGCGCGTGCCGCGTCCACGCGACCGTGCGATTCACGCACGAGCGAGGGAAGAAGCACGTGAAAAACGTGGAGAAAATGGAATCGGGTCGCCCGTATCGGTGCGACGTGTGCGCGTGCGACGTCCCGGGAGACAGGCTGGAGCACGAGCGCGGGACCGAGCACAGGGCGAACGCGCTTCGAGCGGCGCAGGCGTCGGCGGAGAGGAGTGAGTCGTGGCGCGCATCGCTTAGTCCGAGCTCGATTACGATGGATGCGTCGACGAAGGTTGCGCTCGTGCTCAAGGGGGTGCCTCACGGGGAGAGTCAACACGTCTTCGTTGACGCGCTCCCGGGCGACGGGAGGGCGAGAACGATGATGCACTCGCTCTCGCGGGACGTGATAGTTGACGTCGGCGTAGATGGGACGATCGTCTTCGAGAACACGATACGATTTCGAGACGGTTGGTACAAAGATCTCCCGGACGGTGTCTACGGGCTCAGAGTCCTGCTGCTGTACGGAGCGTTAGACGACGACGAGAGCAATCATAGAAGCGTGATGATGACACTGAGCGTCCACGTGCAGAGTTGCGACGAGACTCGGAAAATTGAGAGGAAAATACTCGAGCCGACGCGCCCGTATGCACACGCTCGGGTGAAATTAGGTACTCCAGATCCAGAAATGGTCATCAAACCGCCGCCATCTCGAGCCGTGCAGTCAGCCGCGACAAAGTTCACGTGGCCTAAGCCGCTCAGTAAACCGGATAACCACGTTCGCGCGGCCGTCAAAGGGATCGACCCCGCTTCGAAAGATCTGGTCGAGCTCATCGATGACGCCCGTAAACATCTGTCGAAAACGAACTACTCCCAATTTTTTCGTACACTTCTGATGATGGAAGAGATACAAATGGACACGAACATGCGGGTCTACGACATGGAGAACGTCCTTCTCGAGCCGTGCAAGGGAAAATCAAAGTCGACATTCCGCATCCTTGTGCCCCGGTCTTTCCGAATCACGACCCTCAGTGCTACGTGGGGATCGGATTTTAGTCACGATGAAGACTACCGAGAACGTTTTCCGAGGTGAGGTTGACTTTGTGGAGGCAGAACACTGCGTGGTACGATTCGCCAACGACATCACAAAGCACGCTATGCAAGGCACAGCGGTAAATGTGCGATTTGAACTTGCTCGCTCCGCAATCGAGCTTCTGCATGGTGCCATCAGAGAGTCGTTACGGCGTCCTTCGTACGAATCTTTCCTGCTTCCGTCCACACTTCCAAGTCACTCGCTTCCAACCGGTGACGAAGATCGCGGATCGATCCAAGGAACGAATGGAGTCACTGAAGCGAAAATCTTGAATCGTCACCTCAACGATGAGCAACAACTCGCAGTGAGGTCTGCGCTGGCCATGCGGACGAACGCTCCTTTCATAATCTTTGGTCCGCCTGGTACCGGGAAAACGACCACGGTGGTCGAGATCGCGGCTCAGATGTATCGAGCGGGCGAGCGCGTCTTAATTATGGCACCGAGTAATGCCGCGTGCGATTTGTTCATGTCCCGAGTTATCAACGAGGGCGGTGTCCCAAAGAGCGCTGCCTATAGGGTGTACAATTTCACTCGAGCGCTTGAATCAGTGCCTGCTTCACTGTTAGACATATCAAACTACGACAAGAACGAGAAGAACTTCACCTCTCCTACGGTCAAACGCTTGTCTGAGGCAAAGATTGTGGCGATGACGCCGCTGTGCGCTCAACGATTGACGAGGGTGTACCGAGACGTCGTCAGTTACGGCGAAGGAGGGAAAAAAAAGGAGTACGTGCTCTCTCCTGAAAATAGGTTCCGAAACGTCATCGTGGACGAAGCTGGGCACGCTTCTGAGCCGGAGATACTGGCTGCCATTGTAAACGTGTTGGATCCCGCCCATGGTCGGCTCATTCTCGCGGGCGACGCCAGACAGCTCGGCCCACTCGTGCAATGCAACAAGGCGAAGGCGTTAGAAATCAGCATGCTTGAAAGACTCTGTCTACCGCCTGCAGAGTATGCGCAAACACCGTACAGCGTTCGCGAAGACGGTACTTTCGAACCGAGTCGAGTGTGTATGCTGACGAAGAACTACCGCTCTCACGCGAGCATCATCGAGATTGTGTCGAAACGCTTTTACTTTGGCAAACTGTCGACGCATGCCGAAGTGACTCGCACGCACACGTTCAAGGGATGGGACGAGCTACCGAATCCAACATTTCCCGTTGTTTTTCACGGGGTCTCGGGCGAAGAAATGCGCGAGGCGTCGTCACCGTCGTTTTTCAATCCAGACGAAATATTGGTTGCCGGCGACTGGATTTCCAAGATTCTTGCACATCGAGGCACCGGAGTCACCGAACGAGACATCGCCGTCGTTACGCCTTACCACCGGCAAAAATTGAAGATGAAGAAACATTTAGAGGGGAAAAACATATCCGGAGTCACCGTGGGTTCGACCGAATTGCTGCAAGGACAAGAGTTTAGCGTGGTCGTCATCACGTGCACTCGTTCGGACGTGTCTCATTTGTCTTTTGACATCCACCATCGACTTGGGTTCATGGCGAATCCGAAGCGGTACAACGTCGCCATTACGCGTGCGAAATCACTCTTGATCGTCATTGGGAATCCGTTTCTACTCGCGCACTGCGAGGAATGGCGCGCTTTGATCGACTATTGTAGAATGAACGACTCTTACACTGGGATCGACTTCAATGGAAAGCCGAGCGACGACTACTTAGGCAGTGACGAAGCCATCGCGGATGTTCTTGACGAAGTCGATCGCGTTCGAGCCGAACGCGACGAGGATGCGTCGTACGAACGCATCGATCCTCGCGATCACGATTAGTGCTTTCTTTTGTAACATATCTGTACCAGTACGCGACGAGCTCTGCGTCACTCTGCGACTCATATCAAAATGCGCGCGACGACGTGCGCGTTCGCGCTCGATCGCACATCGGTACGAACGAACGCCGGCGCGTCGACGTCGAGATCGAATCGAGCGGTTCCGCCGCGGTCGTCGACCAGTCCACGCTCTCGTCGAAGAGACTTCATCGCGCTCTCCCTCACCTTGGTCGCTCTCCGCGACGACGAGGCGAGGGCGCAGACGAACGCGCGTGCGCTCATGGAACCCGAGGGTACGATCGAGACTGGACTCACCGCGAACGCTCGAATCCGAGCGTGCCCTCGAGAGCACAACTGCGTCTCGACGTCGGCGCGAGAGAGCGATAAGTACGCTTCACCGTGGACCGCCCCGAATACGTTCCGAGACGTCAAGTCGACGGCGAACGCTCTCGTGGACGCCGTCCTGGACACGGTTGATGGGTCGAAACTGGTGCAACGCGACGATCGTAAAGATGGCACGTACTTGGGCTTCAAAGCTCCTGGTAAGCTGGGCGAAGACGTCATCGAGTTTTTTGTCAAGTCGGACGAAGTCAAGGACCGCGGGTGGGAGGGTGACGAAGGGAACGGTTCATTGATCCTCTACCGCTCCTTCGCGTTAGATGTCAAGTATGTGTATCCGTTCATGACCCCGATCGGGGACCTGGGCGAGCAAGCGAAGCGTCTCGGACGCATCAGACACGAGCTCGGCGCGCGACAGCTGGGATGTGAGTTGGTGGAATGTTTTTCATAATCATGAAAACACCCGACATCTATGAACGTTTCATAGTCCCGCAGGGGGGGTGCGGGTGATAAATTAGGGCATAGGACATTAGGCACGCATAAAGGCAAATGCAAATCGATCAAATACCACAAACAAAACAGCCGAACCGGCTTTTTCTCTTATCCAGGCGGCCGCGCGCGGGACTTCCCGCACCGCACGCTCTACGCACGACATGTCCTTCGCTCTGAGCTCCAAGACCGCGGTCCGATCGACCGCGGTGAAGTTCACCGCCGCTAAGCGCTCGAATAAGGTTTCTCGAGTCGTTCGCGCCGACGCCACCGCGGAGGCTGACATCGCCACCGCCATGGTCCCCGTGGACCAGGTGAAGGATTTCCTCGGCCGCGGCTTCGTGATCGTTGACATTCGCTCCCCGGAGGAGTGGGCGGAAGGGTCTAAGAACACGTGGAAGAAGATTTGCCTCGCCATCTTTGACGAAGAGACGGGTGAGGTTGAAATGAACCCCAGTTTCATGGCTCAAATCAAGGCGGAGTTCCCGAACACGCTGAGCCGCATCTTGCTCGTGTGCGACGACGGCACGGAGCGAAGCGAAATCGCGTGGAGAGGCATCAGCAAACGCGGTTACACCCAGTGCAAAATCATCGAGGGTGGCTCGGAGGCGTTCTTCAAGGCGTTCCCGCTCACTGCGGCGGACAAGCGCGTGTGGAAGCTCCAGGACCAACCGGGCGCCGACTTGTCCACGCTCGTCAGCGGCGTGAGCATGAACATGGATCACATCTTCCAAGACCGCAAGTACTAGACCCGTTACTTTCTCCGACGCTAGATGCTAAACACTACACTGTGCTACCGCTAAGCTAATCTACTTGTTTGTAACTTTCCATGAAAATTCTTCACCATCGCAAGAGACACACGCGCTTCGGGGTCGTTCCCTTCTAGCGACGATGAAACGATTCTTCTCGCTCAGCAAGGCGTCATCGACGACGATTCGTTTGCTCACCGGGGCAAATTCGCTCCCTAAGTGCGTCGGAACGTGCGCCAGGAGCAGTTTACACCACAAATCGTGCGAGTCCGCCTCGAGCCTTCGAGCCGCGCGCGCGAGACCGTATCCAAACTCCCCACACGGCCGCTTCCAAGCGCGCACCTCGCGAACTAAACAACACGGTGACAATACTAATATATCCCCCCACCGCGCGAAGAGTTCGATCGCTCGCCTCGAGAGGTCTCCGCACAGGTGCACTCCGCACACGACGACGACTTTTCCGCTCAGTTTGGCGTCTCGCATCATCTCATCCACCGCTTCGTCGTACGCGTCCATCTCTTTGAACGTAATCTTCTGTTCGCTCGCTAGGTGTTTCATGTTCATCCTCTTATCTCGATCCACCGCGATGACGTCGCAGTTCACGATCGACGCCGCCGCGACGCACGACGTCATCCCTTTCCCGCAGCACACGTCGAACACTCTCACGTCTCCCACCACCTCCTCCACCATCGACGTCCCGACGCGTTCGAGCTCGCGTTCGATGATCTCACACGCCCCCACGGCTTCGGTGAGCTCCTTCTTCAGCGCCTTTGACTTCACTCGCGCCCACGAAGAGTAATTGTCATCCTCTCGCAACTTTTTCACCAACCCATTCGCGTGTCGCTCGAAGAATCGTCGCAGGTGCGCGTTCACCGCCGCCGTCTCTCCGTCCGCGACGTGGTCGATCGATCGACGCGCGCGCGCGCGCGCGTCCATGCGTCGCGCGCGACCCGTCGCGGTGTCGCGCGCGTCCCGATGGCGCAGCGTCGACGCGCGCGCACTCGGTGACGCGTCGCGCCGACGATGCGCGCGACCGCGACGGCGGCGGCGGACGACGCGTCGAGAATCACCTCGTCGACGTCCGCGATGGCGTCGACGCGGGACGACGACGACGACGACGACGATGACGATGCCGACGTCAACGGTCGAGACGTTGGTGACTTTTGTCTGCGTCGAGGGACGTGGACGGAGAAGCGGAGCGATCGCACCCGGGCGTGGTCCAAACGATTCGCTCGATGGAGCGAAGATGGGACGGAGATCGAGTTCAGGGTCGACGCGAACGATGCGGCGCCGTCGTCCAAGGTGCCGTTGTCCCGAGTGCGCGGGTGCGTCGCGTCGAGCTTAAACATCGGGAAACAGTGTCCGGCGGGATGCGGGATATACATCGACGTCGAGGGGAGTAAGGAGGGGGTTTTCTTGCGATGTGAGAGCGCTTCGAGGGCGAGCGCGTTCGTCGAGGCCGTCAGGGAGGCTCGGATGCGGGGTAAGGGACGGCGAAGAGATGAGACGCCGCGGACGCCGGAACGGGCGAGCGAGGCAACCGCGGCGTCCAGGGCGTCGACGAATGGCGAAAGCAGAGCTCGGGAAACACCAAGAACGCGTGATCTCGTGAAGGAATTCGGCAATCGTGCGATGCATGTCGGCGAAGAGGCGTCAGATTCGCCAGCGGGATCGATGGACACACGCGGGCGCGTTTTGGACACGTTCGGGGCGATGGAGATCGCACTGCAGGCGAAAGACGAACTCCTAGCGGCGGAGGCTATGGGGAGATCGTCCTTAGAGGCTGCGCTGCGGTCGGAAAAAAAGTTCAGCGCGGAGTTACAAAAGAAGGTGACGTCGATGCGAGAAAGAATGGAGAGTCGCGAAAAGGAGCTGAAACTCGTGCGGGAAAATTTGGAGATGGAAAAGGCGTACGCGTCCGAGCTGAAGGATCAACTCGAGGAAGCGCTCATACGTTCGACCGAGATGGAAGACACCGCGGCGGCGGCAACGATGGAGATCGACCGGCTCGACAGAGAATTGGCGGACGCGCGGGCAACTCGAGAACGCATGGAGGAGGCACTGCTGAACGAGGCAGAGTACGTACGCCAACGCGAAGTGGAGCAGTTCCAGCGTCAGCGTCACTTGGAGACGCAGTTAAATGAAGCTAGACAATCACTGGATGAGCTCGAGATCAAACATCAAGATGAGCTCGCGGAGGTTCGACGACGATCCTCGCATGCAGTCGCAGTGGCAAACACGACAGAGCAAGAGCTACTTTTGAGTCGAGACAGATTGCTGAGTGAGCTCGCACGCATGCGTCGTGAAGGTTATGAGACGGTCCTCCTTAGCGGCGGTAAGGATTCAGCGCGGATGGGGACGACGTCGACGTCAACGACGCCGTCGCGCGCGCGCACCGTTCCCATGCCGACAACGCCTTCGAGACTCGGGCAGATTTCTCCGTCTCCACAACGCGCGAGGATGAGAGAAACGCAGGTACATCGCACCCGCGACTCTCCGAGAACTCCGCGCTCGCACGCATTGCATCCTGAACCGGAAGAGACGCCGAATCGAACTCGTCGCGCGCTCTTCAATCGAGGCGCGCAGCGGTCGCCAAGCAAACGTGTGGACGCGAGCAGAGTGATAGATAGACTCGATTCTCCAGGGACGCACGGATGTCGCGTGCAGTGATGCTGTGATAGTTGTAATAGTATGACGCTTCATCTCGTGAACGAATACAGGAATCGATGTTACATATTGCGGCGGCTCAATTTTCCTTGATCTTATCATCCTTCTTACCCCGCAGCGTCTCGATCACGCCGTCGAGCAAGAGCTTGGTCCACGTGATCTGCAGAACGTTGAAGAAGACGTTCGTGACCAAGAATCCCTTGATCATGTACGGGACCGAACTCGTGCCAGCTTGGAGCACGGCGAACGAGTCCTTGAACAGTTGAATGGAATACTTGATGAACATCACGTCTCGAACCGCGATGAATGTCAGAAGGAATATAAATTTGAAGAATAAATCCACCATCGGGTGCTTGCGCGCGAACTCGGGGTAATACTTGCCCACGTCCACGATGATAAGCGGCACGGATGAAATTTCTGTCACGCCGAGAAAGAAAGCCCCGTAGTACTGCGCGAATCCCATGTGCAGACCCGTCAGGGCCAACGCCGCCGCTAACGAATGATGCAGCAGCATCTCCGTCGAGCACAGTTTGGGGTGCCCGAACGAGATTAAGAAGTCCCAGATTTGAAACCCGCAGTTCACCAAGATCATCTCTCGCGGCTCCTGCGCGACGAGCGCGTGTAAACGCTTATACGGAGTTTCGAACCCTCTATCGAGGCTTCGCGTCCACAAGCGGTGTCCGACGACCGCGCAATACGTCAGGGGGACCAGGCACGTGAGTTCGAAGGCGAGCAGGAAGCAATCTCTTCGCATGTACTTCGGCGCTACTCTGGGAAGTAACGCACGGTTCAAGAAGAAAAAGAGGAGTGAGAGCGCGACGACGACGTTGGCGATGAAGCGCACGTCATCACTCGTGATCCCGACGCTCGGGGTGGGGGACATCGATCCGAGACGCGGCGACGACTGCGGCTCGCGCGTCTGAGAGAGGGATTATTTTACAACGCGTCGTTCGTCGAGACTCGACGGTCAATTCACCGCCACCTGCGAGCGCATGATCTCGTTCACGAACTTATCGATATTTTCGTATCCAATCATCGCCTCCGCGCCCTCGGCGAGCTCGTAGGAGTACCCCAGGGATGGGTCGTCGTGCGACGTGCGCTCTCGCAGGAAGACTCGGCGCTTTACGAGACTCTGAAGCAGCGCGTCGACGCTACCCAATTCAGCGTGCGTCTCGCGCACGTCGTCGTTGATCCCAAGAACCTTGAGCTGTTCGAACAGAGCGTCCTCACGGATGCACCCGCTCGAGATTTGAATCAGAGCCGCGACGACGAGCGTGAATCCGCGCGCCGGCGCCGACTTTGGATCGTCCACAAACTTTCTACGCATTTGCGCCGGTAAAACGCTCCTCAAGGCGAAGCACTTTGCCGGCGCCGTGTTCGCCTGCTCCAGCGTCTTCGCTGGCTTCTTATTCTTACTCTGCGCCCGCGAACACTCCACCATTTCGTACCCAAAAATCTCCAAAAATTTCTTTTGCGCCAGCGCCACGATGTACGACCCAGCGCGCGCGCGTCCGCCCGCCCCCCCGATCGCCGACATCGCGTCCGAGATCTTCGTCCGCTGAATCGGCGCCCCTTGGTCGCGATGCGATGCAAACAGCACGTACCGCATCACCTCGCTCGTGAGTCTATCGCGCTCCTCCGCCGAGAGGTGCTCCGCGCGGTTTCCGAGCGCCCCCGACGCCTCCTCCGCCCGCTGCGTGTACCTCTGCGACAGTTCCCCAACGTCCGCGTCTCGCACCCCGACGTACGCCGAGTTCGACGCCGGGGCCCGGTCCACGTCGTCCGCACCGTCGTCGTCCATCCCTCCCGTCGTCGCCGTCACCGCCGTCGTCTTCGCGCGCTTCGTCACCCCCGAGTCGCTCGCGCGCGCGCGATTGTCCGCGTCCGCGGTCTCCTCGGCGCGCGCGCGCGATCGTCGCGCCGTCGCGGTCGCCATCGCGTCGTCCCGCGCGGGGTGGGATTTGAAATCATCCATCCGTCGGTGGGGACGTCTCGCACACGCGGGTGTCGATGCGTCGATCACACACACCCGAGCGGCGCCGAGACGTCGATCACACACACCCGGGTGTCGCTTACCGCCCGCGTCGCCCCCGCGCGCCGCGACGGCGCGCCACGCACACGCGCGCGCGCGACGACGGAAGCGCGTCGAGCGATCGCGCGCGATGCAGCGAGCGCGACGCCGCGCCGCGTGCGCGCTCGCGCGATGGACGCGAGGGACGATCGGGGAGATGACGGCGACGACGCCGGGGACGACGACGACGACGACGACGCGCGGCATCGCGACGTCGTCGGCGCGAACGCGCGCGGCGTACGATATCAACACGCGAACGAAACCGCACTTAAACGTGGGAACGATCGGACACGTCGATCACGGGAAGACGACGCTGACGGCGGCGATCACGAAGGTCATGGCGGAGGCTGGCGGGGCGAAGGAGATCGCGTTCGACGCGATCGATAAAGCTCCGGAGGAGAAGGCGAGAGGAATCACGATCTCTACCTCGCACGTGGAGTACGAGACGGAAAAGAGACACTACGCGCACGTTGATTGCCCGGGACACGCGGATTACGTGAAGAACATGATCACGGGGGCGGCGCAAATGGATGGAGGGATCCTCGTCGTGAGCGCGGCGGATGGACCGATGCCGCAGACGCGAGAACACATTTTGCTCGCGCGACAAGTCGGCGTTCCGTCTCTCGTGGTGTTCATGAACAAGGTGGACATGGTGGACGACGAGGAGCTGGTGGAGTTGGTCGAGATGGAGCTTCGCGAGTTGTTGAGCTTTTACCAGTTTCCGGGCGACGACATTCCCATCATCAAGGGATCGGCTTTGCACGCGTTAAAGGGAACGGAAGACAAGATTGGGAAGGAAAAGATCTTCGAACTCATGAAGGCCATCGATGAGTACATTCCCGAGCCCAAGCGGGCGTTGGATAAGCCCTTCTCCATGCCGGTCGAGGACGTGTTTAGCATTCAAGGTCGCGGCACCGTCGCCACGGGTCGCGTGGAACAAGGCATCGTTCGTACGGGTGACGAAGTCGACGTCGTCGGTATCACGGCGACAAAGAAGACCACCGTCACTGGCGTCGAAATGTTCAAGAAGACGCTCAACGAGGGTCAAGCCGGAGACAACTGTGGATTGCTCCTCCGCGGCTTGAAGCGAGAAGACGTCTTGCGCGGTCAAGTGCTGTGCAAGCCGGGATCGATCAAGCCCCACAGTAAGTTCGAGGCCGAGATTTACGTTCTTAAGAAGGAAGAAGGCGGTCGTCACACGCCGTTCTTCTCCAACTACCGCCCGCAATTCTTTATGCGAACCGCGGATATTACAGGGAACATCACCCTTCCGGAGGGTACCGAGATGGTCATGCCGGGCGACAACGTCACCGCCGTATTCGAGCTCATCACCCCGATCGCGATGGAACCCGGTCTTCGCTTCGCCCTTCGTGAAGGTGGTCGTACCGTCGGCGCCGGCGTCGTGTCCAAGGTTCTCAACTAGCGCGGCGGCCCTACGTCGTCGACGCGATTTTAGCGCGTAAAATAAAACGGCGGTTTTAATACCATGACAACGTGAATCCTAAATCAACTGTACGAATCTAGAACCATCGCCCGCGCTTTTGATCCTGTTCCTTCTGCGCATCCATCATCTTTTTCTTGAGCGCTTCTCGTCCCGAGCCGCGCGCGGCGCTCTTCTCCGCCGCCGCGCGTTTCGCTCGGAACGCCTCCTTATTCGCCTTCTTCTGCGCCAAGAGCGACCCCCCGCCTTGCGGTTTGAATCGGTTCTTCCCGACGTTACACGTCGGACACCTGTACGAATTCGGAAGCTTCTTAAAGTCCCCGCCCGTGTACACGTACCCGCAGTCGATGCACAGGTACGGCGTGCGATCGACGACGCCACCGGACCCCCCGGGTGTCGTCTTCTTGCCAAAATTCAAAAACGCTCGCGTCGTCGTCGTCGTCGTCGTTCGCGCGCGTCGTCCACGGCTCTCCATCGCGCGCGCGGTCGCGCCCTCAGCGCCTCGCGCACCGCCTCGCGAGAACGTCGACGCGCGCGCGCGCATCGTCCACGTCGACGTCGACGCCATCGCCATCGCGCGTCGGCCTCTGGCGGGCGTGCGCGCCCGTATTCGGGGACGCACACACCCATGTGTGGGCATCCATCGCGGACGTGCGTATCGACGAGTACTGACTCGCGACGACCCCCTCGAGCGAACCGTCGCCGTGTCCGTATTTGGGGACGCACACACCCGTGTGCGGGCATCCATCGCGGACGTCCGTATCGACCAGTACTGACTCGCGACGACCCCCTCGAGCGAACCGTCGCCGTGTCCGTCCCGGGCGTCGCACGAGGGATCGATGATTTCGAAATCACCGATCGCGTCGACGGCGGCCCGCGCGTGGGCGTCGTCCCCGCACACGCGCGCGCGCACGCACGCACGCACGTCCAGAACACCGTCGGCGCGCGCGCACACGGAGCGAGGCGCGTAAACGGAGCGACACACGGGATGATCGCCGCGATCGCGCGAACGTCGACGGTCGCGGCGGCGCGAGGGACGACGCGATCGCGCACGAGCGATGGACGCGTCGGTGCGCTGAAGCCGACGACGGTGACGCGACGAACGACGGTTGTCGTGAAGGCTGCGTCGGCGGTGCGCGATGCGCGGGTGATCGCTGGGAAGAGAGTCGTCGCGCAGAAGACGCGACGCGTGGCGCGCCGCGCGGGCGGCGGAGCGATCGAGATCAATCCGAACGACCCGCCGGAGGAAGAGATCTTCGATATGTCCGAGGGAGGGCAGAAGAAGCGCTGGGGGATGGTGTTCGCGCTGTTCGTCGCGTTCGTGCTGTGTAACCTTGACAAGGTGAACATGTCCGTGGCGATCGTGCCCATGGCGGAGTCGTTCGGGTGGACGGCGACGCAAAAGGGTTTAGTCGCCTCTGCCTTTTTCTGGGGTTACTCGTTCACGCAGATCCCGGGAGGTTGGCTGGCGAGCAAGTACGGCGGTAAGTCCGTTTTATTCTGGGGGGTTGTCCTCTGGTCGTTCGGTACGCTCATCGCGCCGTGGTGCGCGGCGCTCGGCATGCCGTGGCTCCTCGCCTCGAGGTTCTTGGTCGGCCTCGGCGAGGGCGTCGCGCCGTCCGCCGCCACGGGCGTTTTGGCCAAGGGCGTGCCGCCGAGCCAGCGCTCCAAGGCTGTGACGACTGCGTTCGGTGGTCTCGACGTAGGTTCGCTCACCGGTCTGCTCATCGCGCCGCCGATCATCTTCTACCTCGGTGGCTGGGCCGCCGTCTTCTACCTCTTCGGCGTTCTCGGTTTCATCTGGGGCGCCTGGTGGTTCGCGTCCTTCATGAACGACTCCTCCACTGACATGAAGGAAGCGCCGCTTGCCGCGGGCGCGAAGAAGGGTCTCTCCATCCCGTGGGCCGCCTTCTTCCGCAATCCGCAATTCTGGGCGCTCACCGTCGCGCACTTCACGTGGAACTACTTTTCCTACGGCTTGCTCGCGTGGTTGCCCTCCTTCTTGGCGAGCGCCATGGGCGTGACTTTGTCCAAGTCTTCCTTCCTCTCCATCCTTCCGTACTTATCTACCGTCATCGTGACGGCCACCATCGCCCCGCTCGCGGGCAAGCTTGAGGCGGACAAGACGCTCACGCGCACGCAAATCCGCAAGGGTTCCCAAACGCTCTGCTTCGGCGTCGGCGCCGTCATGCTCACCGCTATTGGCTTGATCGTGAACGCCACGCCGGTCGCGGCGGTGACCAACCAAACTATCGCCATTGTGATTGGTCTCCTCTCTGTCACGTTCGGCTTCGCCGCGTTCATCCGTACTGGTTTGTTCTGCGGGCACCAAGACCTCTCGCCGAAGTACGCGTCCATCATGTTGGGCGTGACCAACACGGCGGCGGCGATCGCGTCCACGCTCTCCACCTTCTTCACCGGTCTCTTCTTGTCCATGACCGGTGGTAACTGGGCCTACTCCCTCTTCTTCCCGATCGCGGTGCTCCAGTTGGTGTCCGTGTTCGTCTTTTTGATTTGGAAGTCTGATCCCGTCGACTTTGACGCGTGAGCTTTCAACGCTTGACCGGCATTTTCCAATACAATATTCATTCCTTTCGTTTTTGGCTGAAAACCACCGTAGAGTGGTCATAGCGTGGTCACGCTCACACGAGCGTGTCATCTAGAACATTGCACTTCTTATGCAGAGCTTGCAATCACAACTATCCGTAAATATTTAATCGTCGTTCGTTCATTCGCGCCGCGACGCGTCGAACGAGGCGCTCGGCGGGAGGTGTTTTATACGGAAGTTAAGATAATATTTGCAATCGAAAGACCGCGAACGAATAACTATAGGTTCGTGTTCAACCGTGCGGTCGTCAACCTCTCGACGCGTGCTAAACGAGTCGAGGGCGCTCGATGAAAAACACCGACCTTGCCCCAAAGAATGATCAACAAAGTCGCGCCTCTTACGCCTTGGCGGCGGCCTTGGCGGCGTTCTTTTGTTGCTTGAGGTAGAAGGTGTACACCGTGGAGATGACGACGGCGGCAAAGCCGGCGATGTACTTCCAGTTAAGTTCCTTCGGGAAGAGCATGAAAGAAATGACGATGGAGAGCACCTTACGGAGCGACTTCACGATCTCAGCCTCGGTGGCGCCGAAGTACTTGATGAGGGAGAGAATGAAGGACACGGAAGAGTAGCCCATGACGGAGAACGCCATGATCAGCGGGACCACTTGCGGGTTCGCTTGGGAGAAAGCGAGCGCCGGCGCGAGGCCACCGGAGGCGATGAGCGGCACGAGGCCGTACGCGGTGCCGATGAGGGACGCGTAGCAGAGAACCTCTTGCGTCGTCGACGGGGTCTCGCATCGGAAGAAGTTCTTCTCTTCAAAGTTGGCGCAGATCGCGTCGACGCACAAGGCACCGGCAATGAGCGCAACACCGATCGGGGCGAAGGTCGGGGAGGACGCAACGTCACCGAGCGTGAAGAGGATGATACCGGCGACGAGAATAGCCGCGGACAACCACTCCTTCCAGTTGTACTTCTTGCCGACGATCAAGACGGAGAACGCCATGACTGGAATAATCTTCGCGGACTTGAACACGATACGCGTGGCATAGTTCAAGTACGAAAGAGCGTAGTTGGTCATCGCCATGCCACCGTAGGTGTACACGGAGAGGATACCGTAGTTCTTCCACGTGCCCTTGCGCGTGTCGTTCGTGAGCTTCATCTCGAGCGCGCCGCACAAAAAGTACGTAAACGTCGTCAACACGGTCATCCAGGCGGAGAACTTGAAACCCGGGATGCGGAACACACCTTCTTGGAGCGCCGCGAAGCCGAGCGCGGAACCGAGAGAACCAGCCGCGAGGATGGCGAAGGAGATGCCTTCATTCTCCGGGAGGGTCAAACCGAACACCTTCTTCGGTTCCCCCGGGGCAGCCTTGGCGACGCCGCCAGCCTTACTGCGATCGTACAATCACACCAAAATTCGTCAGTCATCGTGATCACCAAACATCCACCCCGTGCGCGCGATCCAACGACACCGCGCGTCCGACCCGCGCGCGCGCGTCCGCGATCGCGCGAAACCCTCGCGCCGTCGCCGCCGCGTCGCCCGTCCATCCCTCATCCACCCCACGCGCGATCCCCGTCGACCGTCATCTCACGCGCGCCATCACCGCGTTCGCCATCGCGCATCACCGCACGCACGTCACCACCGTCCGTCGCTCACGCGTCGTCGCGACGACGGATGCCATGCGCACCGCCGCGCCGCCGCCGACGATCGCCGATCGCTTCGCCGTGAATTTCGCCACCACCGCGCTCGACGGCCGTCGCGTCGCGGTCGATCGCGCCGCCACCGAGGCGTGCGCCGTCGTCGGTGCGCGCGCCGTGAGCATCATTCTCCGCGTCGCGCGTGTGCGGCGTCGCCCGCGATCGATCGAACGGTCGCTCGATCGGATCATCTTCCAACCGAGGCGGGGGCCGTCGAGGCCGCGGGAGGTCCGTCGGACTGTTCGCCCACACGACGTCGCGCCCATCACCGGCACGCGCGTGCGTTAGGGTTGAGACGGGCGTCCGGTCGCGCGTACGCGCCGTGTGTCCGGCCATCGACGGCGTTTTCCACGGGCGACTTTCCATCAAAACGGGCAAATCTAGGGTTTAGTTGACGACGGCGAAAGTGTGCGTGCCGAGACGGCGTCGACGTGATTCGGTGTCACACCTTTGAGCGCGCGTGTGCGTCGAGTGAGACCCGCGCGCGAGCGAACGCGTCGGTCGAGACGCGGGCGTGGTCGAGACGCGCGCCGCGCGCGACGGGTCGGCGTGCGCACGCGCCCGGCGCGGCGTCGACGGCGTCTCGATCGCGACCGCATCGTTCGCGACGTCGAGCGTCGGGCGATGGCCGCGCGCG